ACATGAAAATGCTGTTGCTTATTTCTCTTTGATATAGTATTTTAAGATTTTAAGATCTATGACTAAAACCTTTGAAAAACCTGCAAAATAGGCACCATTAAATAAACATTTAATATTATCAAAAATCTTAAAAGATAATTTTCTAAGAATAGTCTTAGATCCAGTTAACTATTATAAAGATATACTGGTTCCAGAATTGGTTACTCATGAAGAAGATGTCAAAGATCCTTTATTGTATCATAGAATGAAATTGCACTCAGAATTAATAACATTAATAACTGAATGTTGTCAGTATTATAGATTGGGAATTTAGGAAATGTAAAGAATATTGCTATATGAATAATTAAAGACTATTTTATTAGCTCCAAATAGTGAATATATTGTTAAAAGAGCATATTTATAATGCTTATTTGAATTATATATCAATTAAGTTAAATAAGGGTAGTTTATTAATGATACAATAGAAAGTGATGAAGTTAGGGATATATTATCTAGAGTAATAATTCCAGAATTAGATTAAAAATAAATTTGTAAATATTTGGAGGGGTTATCTAAATTAGTAAATCAAGATAGAAATATTAAGGTTATTTAAAGGGATTTAAGAGATTCAATTTAAAGATAAAAGTAGACTTATTTTGAAAATAAGTTATCATTTGATTCTAAATTTATTAAAGAATAAGGAATATTGAGAGATTAAAGTGAATATTGGAAGTATTTGAGAAAAAATGGAGTAATTCATTTTTTAATTTATACTTATGATGAAATGAAAGATAGAATTGATCTTGAAAATCCAGAGATTTAGAATTTGTCTGATGAATTTGCAATAATTAAATAGAATTTTGTAAAAATTAAGGAGATTTTTAATATTTTAGAAAGAGATTTTAGAGTGAAAAAAGAAGATCTAGATTTAGATGATTATAGATAATTGATAATTTCAATTGAAGAAATTATTCCATAAAGAAAAATTACTAAATTTGGTTAGAATTTTAGAATAGGATTTCAATAAGATAAGAATGATAATAAATTGATTTTTGATAAGTTTGATACTTTGAAAGATGATTAAACAGGAGAAAAGAAGTTGTAAGAAGAAGATAATGTTCAAAGAATAGAAAATCCATTTAGGAGAAACTTTAAAGTGTATCTGATTAGATATAAAGTGAATATTAATTAATTTAATGAATATATTGAAAGTAAGGCAAATGAACAAGAAAGACTATAGAAAATACTAGATACTTGCAATATTTATAAGACATACATCTAATAGAGTGATATTGATGAAATCTATAAAATGAATGTAGAATAAATTAAGAGATAAGAATAACTAAATAATAGACATAATATTGTAAGTTAATGGGATTTATTTAAATAAGCAATGAGAGAATTATTTGAAATGCAAACTACTTAAAATGTAATAAACTAGTAAGTACAAACTTATTAAAGATAATAAGAAGGTTTAGAAACTCTTAAGTAATAATTTGGAATAGCTTGTCGAAAACTAATAGGAAAACAATATAAAAAACATGGAGGTTAGTTAGAAGGCTCTGAAGATTTATTATCAGATGATATTTAAATAGAATTGTTAATAAAAACTTTAGAGTAGCAAAATACAAATTTATTAATTGAAGATAATGTATAGGAATTTTTGTAAAAATGTTAAGAAATATTCTTAAATAGAGAAGTTTATTTAATAAAATTTTGTAAAATATTCTTATTCTTAAAAAGACCCACTTAAGATGATATAGATTCACTTACTGAAGCTAAAGATGAAAAATCTAAAGATATAATAAGATAGAAATAATAAATATTCATAAAATATCAAAATGCTATGGTAGATGGTGGTTTGGATATATTAGCATTAGATATATTGAATGAATCTGTTGATGATTAACATAAAATAGAAGCATTATAATTGTTAATTTATTTATTGGATTATGGAAATGATTATGTCTAAAAAAAGTTTTATAATATACTTAAGTAAGATTAGATAATAAAATCTAAATTTTTTGTTTTCCTTAGAGGATTCTTTTTGACTGATATTAATTCCAGAATATTAGAATTAGAATTATGTGAAGACAATAATACTGAATATAAAATACTTTGTTTGAAAGTATTAAAATTATTATAGGCATTATGTGAAAATGTTAATGTTGATTTCTAGAAGTTTTTAGTTCGTTAATATGATGATGATTCATATCAAGCCAATATTAATATTGTAAATGAAGTTGCTAGTTTATTAGCAGATTTATTGGAAAAAGGATAAAGTGTATTTTATAAATTGTAAGAAATCTACAGATAAGCTTTGGAGAGTTTAGTTGAATTCTCTACTGGATTTGAAGAAAATAAAAAGGAATTATGTAAAAATACCAGATTATTTACATTATTAAATTAAATTTTATAAAAAGAAGATTTGATATCATTTAAATAATTATAATAGGAAAATCGTAATATATTAAAAGAAAATTTATTAAAATCACAAAATCAAGAAGAAGATCTTATTATTAATTTAAATAAAAATTAAATTAATTATTAAGAAAGAAAATATAACTCATATTAGACACTTTAATCATTTATTAAATTATTATTATTGATTACTTAAGGTAAACTTAATAAAAAATCTTTAAAATTTATAATAGAAACTGTAAATATTACTATTCTAATGAGAATATCAAGATCCATTTATGAAGATCGTATTAAACCTAAATAGAGAAATATCATATTAGATAATATTTGTGATGAATCAAAAACTGGACAACATTAATATTGTTCTAATAATTTATGTCATTTTGGGTTAAGAACTGATGAAGATAACCTATTAATATAAACTGGTTTCAATATTTTTATCATTTGTCTAAAATTATCAGAGCATTTTCCAAATGATCCATAATTAGAAATTTTTTAATTTGATGAAGAGTATGATGAATAAGATGATTTTACTGATTTTAGTGATCCCTTATAAGAAGAATTACAAAAAAAAAATACTGTTTCTTCTTAAAAAATAGTACCAATCTTTATAAAAAATCAAAATACTGAAAAAGAGGAAGAAAATGCTCTATTAAGTAATCGATTAAGATAAACTTCATTTAATGAATTTAAATAAATTATTGAAGAAATCTAAAATGATGATAATTATAAATTTACTAGAAAACAATAATTTTTTAAATTTTATAGATAATTTACAGGTAGAATTGAAATTTAAAATGAATAATCTGAACTTGAAAAGATTTTCTTTTAAAAACCTTTTGTTTGCAATTTTGTTACTCCTAATATTAAATAACATTTAATTTATGAGATCAAAAGAGATACAGATGAAGATAGAATGTAAGGATTAATTGATTAAGCTGATTTTTATCAGGTTTAAATGAGACATTCCTAATAAATTAATAATAGCTTTATAATGCATTTTGGAGCAGTTTATTGGAGATTATTAAAAGATATATCCTTTATACTCTGTTCTGTTATAGTAATTCTATTGATTTTTATGCATGACATAGTTGTCAATAGTAAATTAGGCTCTAATTAAGAAGCTCCTGAATCTAATACAAAAGTACCTGGAGAGAACTTTGTAAGTTATCTTAATAATGTAAAATTTATAATAATTTGTTTAGATAATTACAATAATTTAATTAGTATTGAATCTAATTATTGTATTTTTCTGTGCAATAGAAAGATATCCAATATCAATTACTTATAATAGAGGTGAAACAAATGCTAAAAGAGTTCAGATCTTAAAAAAAGAAGCTGGATTTTCAATAGCATTTTTGACAATGAAATATTACAGCATTATTGGATATTTTGAATAGGAATTTTAAGGATAAAAAGTAAGTGAAAGCACTTTAAAAAAACTTATACTTGTTATATTTTTTGATTTTGATAATTTTTACAATGTAATAATAAATTTAATATTAATAGATTTGTATTTTTGGACTAACAGTCTATGCATTTTTTAATCCATATATATATGCAGTACTGTTGTTAGATATCATAAAGAGATCTGAAGATCTTTAGAATATTATAAAATCAATTACTTCTAATGGTAGAAATCTAGCAATATTCACTTTTCTTGGTTTTATTGGATTATTAATTTATGCTATAATTGCATTTTCAAACTTTAGTTGGATGTTTAATGATGAGGATGGTGTTTATGGTTAAACATTTATTTTAGCTGTCACATCTACAATTAATTTTGGTCTTCGTAGTGGTTTAGGAGATTCAATGAAAATATATCCTTAACCTTATGAAGATCCTACATTATATTGGGGGAGATACTTTTTTGACTTCTCATTTTTCATAATATTTAATATTTTGTTCATTTAAATAATTTTTGGTATAATTTTAGATACTTTTGGTGAATTGAGAGATGAAAGATAAGCCTTAGTGAAGCAAATTGAGGGAAAGTGTTTTGTTTGTAGTCTTGAAAAGAATGATATTGATACAAAGTAAGATAACTTTTATATTTATAGTGGATCAAAAGGCTGGCATTATCATATATATTTAGAACATAGTGTCTATCATATGCTCTACTATATCATTTATATAAAGAATAAAGATCTTAATGATTGTAACGCATTAGAGAAGTTTGTAAAAAGATGCATAGAAGGAAAAGAAACGGCATTTTTCCCTTTTGGAAGAGCTTTATAAATTGAAGATTAGAATAATGATGAAGACGAATTGATTGATCCTAGTGAATCCTGATATACAACTATATTTAATATATATATTCAACTCTAAAAAATAATATCATATTTATGTATGTACATAATTAATAAAGATGAATTTAAAGTAAAATTTAATACTTAAAATAATACTTTTTTGTAGGTTATTAGAACATTAATCTATTTATTTAATTTTTTAAAATAACTTGAAAATTCAATTATCGCACAATTAATTGTTATGTAGAATAAATATAATTTAAATTTCCTTATAAGAAGCAATTTAACATAATAAGTAAATTTTGAATTATTAATGTATATATTGAATTATTAAAATAAATTATCAAAAAAATGAATTCACCCAGCACTCCAAATAAAATAATCAATAATTAATTTGTACTAAAGAAGAAATTATCAGCTGGGTCATATGGAGTAGTTTTTGAAGCTGAAGATTTAATTAAGAAACAAATGGTTGCTGTTAAAATTGAGAAAAAAGAGAAAAATTCAACACTCGATCGTGAAATACATATTCTTACAAGATTATTGGGTACTTAAGGAGTTCCAAAATTAATTTGGAGTGGAATAGATAACAATTCTAATGTACTTGTTCAATAACTGTTAACAAAGGATATTGGAGCATATTTAAAAGAATATCGAACATTTTCATTAAAAACTGTTTTAATAATAACCGATTATCTATTATAAATAATAAAGAGAATTCATAATAAATCAGTTGTTCATAGAGATTTAAAACCAGAAAATATTATGTATCATTAAAAATAAATTTACATTGTTGATTTTGGTATAAGCAAATTATATAGAGATAATAATTTAAAGCATGTGTAAAAATAATATTTAAATATAGTCCATTTAAAGAAGGTCGATCTTTTGTAGGAACCACAAGATATGCTTCAATAGCAGCACATAAAGGTTAGGAACTTGGAAGAAAAGATGATCTTGAATCAATAATTTATATTGACATTCTATTATTAAAAGGGTATTATAATTTATTAACTTAGAATAAAGAACTTTGCCATGGTAGAGCATGCTAGGTTAAAATAATAAAGAAAGATAGAAATAAGTTGGTGAAAAGAAAATGAAAATGACTCCATCAGAGATTTGTGTTGATCTACCAATAGAATTTTCAAAGGCTTTAGAGTTAATATAAATAGTAATAGTATAGATACATAAAATCACTTCATTATTAAAGTGACCCAGATTACGATTATTTAATTTAACTATTTAGAAAGTTAGGTTAATCTCGAAGAATTGAATATGATGATGTCTATGATTGGACTTAATCATAGAATTAAATACCAGCAAATATTTCAAAATAAGAAACTACTATTAAGTAAATATCTTCTCTACAACAATTCGAAAGATCTCCAAGAGTTATGTAAAATAAGTGGTAATATTATAACCATAAAATTATAGTTAATCACTCAAAGTACCTTCAACTTATGATATTTTATAAGACAGAAAAAAATCTCTATAAAACACCTCATAATTAGTGTTATTATAAGATGAATTAAATAAATCCATCCAAAACACTTATGAGCTTAGCTAAATTGCAAATGATTATGATTCTAAACAAGACTATGTTTCCTAAGATGATTCTAATGATACCCTATTTTAAAGATACAATTAATTAAAATCATAAATCCTCTAAATGTATCTATTATTCTATACTTAGACATCACTTGTAAAATATCAAGAATCAAAATAATAATATAATGGTCAATTGATATTATTTATATATATTTATATAAAATACTTAATTAATTATAAATATTAATTATAATGTATAGTATATCAGAATTTTCAGAATTTTAATCAAAAATTGTTCATTTTTAATCAAAACTAACAGATAATGATAAGAATAACTTTTAATTCTGTTATAATATCTACAAAAAACTAAAATAACAAATCAAGTAAGCACAATAATACTTTTCAAAATTTAATTTTTTATTAGAATTTTATGATCTTTTAGAAGAGTTCTAGAGAGATAAACAAATTTAAGAGTATATGAAATGTTATTATTACCTACTTCCAATTATTTTTAATAATTAAATATATTCAGGGATTTTAGAATCAACATAATTTTAAGAATAAGAAGTATAGAAATTATTAAACTTAACAAATAAATTAAAAAGTTTGGAGTTAACTGAGTAAATAGATAAAGATTTTAAAAATCCAGAGGAATTGAAACTCAAATCTTCATTATCAAGGCATTCCATTTCTTATCATAACAAATAATAAATTTGTAAAATCCCATATTAGCTTTGCTATTAATACTTTTATTCATTTCATCTTAAGTTTCAACAAAATGGTCTATATATTTGTTATTAGAATTATAATAAACTAAAAATGGCCTTAAATAAAATAAAAGAATTATTCATTTAAGAAAGAAAACTTTATAAGCTCATGGAGTTAAATGTTAAAAATTTGAAAGCTTAAAAAATACCAAAATTAAAATTAATTGATTTAAATGTAAATAGCAAATAAATCTAGTAAAATTTCAATGATAAAATAAATTTATTGTAATTTGATAATTTTGAAATATAGTATTTGCAATAATTTTCTGTTTATGCTTAATCTATTATTAATCACAATTTTGAAAAAAAAGATCATTTTGGACTTTCTAAAATATCTGTTTCGCATAATAATCAACTTTAAATCACTTCTAGAGGAGATGACTATTAAATATAATTAGAATTAAAAGACATAATGAAAAATGAAATTATTTATTAGTTAAAATAAAATAATAGAGGTTTGATTGATATTTAATTTTCAGAAAATAGCAAATATTTTTACTTATTACAATCTTTCATTTTTAAATTATATGATATTGTCAGTAAATCTGAATTGTTAAATTTACATATTGACTTAGAGTATTAAGAAGAAAGGTTTTTAAATGCGTAACTTTATAGTAATGATACAAAATTAATTTTACTTTCTGATCTGTAAATAAAGTTATTTAGTTTTAATGGGTTTTAATTTTTATTAGAATAAATATTTAATATATACAATATTTCTCTGATTAATAAGATTTAAATTATTGAATCTGAAAACTCAAAAGACAAAATTATAGAAATAAAAGGAAAATTAAGTACGACCAACTCAATTTATTTATAAATCAATGATGACAACTATAAATTAATATAATTTTATATATTATGAGGGATATTATATATTTAAAATGAAAATTAAATCAGTTTTAGTGGTATATTTTGTTTTTATTTCATTTACTAAATTATATATAAATATTATCTTAGTACAAAAGAATAAGATAAAATGTTAAATAGATTAACCCTTAGTTTTAAATCAGATACAATTGAACAGTAGTTTAGAGAAAATCAATCAAAAAATGTAAAAGAAGAGTTTACTTTATTCACAATATAATGTTTGGTATATTTAATATATTAACTGAGCTATTTTTTCCTTTATATTTATCGACATACTTTTAATTAGAATACTTCAATTTGACTAGTATTTTGATAATATTTATTATTGCTGGGCTAATTATTGTTTTCAAATTAGTCATAGACAATTATCCAAAAAGTGTCAATATAATATTACCTATTCTATAAATATTATTTGCAATAGTTTGGAGTGTAGATTATATATCATCATAGCCTTATATTTCAAAGTATTCTTGGTTTTATGGATTTTAAGCATTTTATTTTCATTCTGGTACATATTTTATATACAATAGCCATTATGTAGCAAGGGTATTAAATTTTACCTTAGGCCCTATGCATATTAGGATTATATATATGGTTTATAATCTTGTATTTAGAAAATTCATTAGAATTTGTCGTTTTATGTCTTACATAACTTAGTGTTTTGTTAGGATTATTATTTTTAAAATATACAAATCTAAAGCTAAAACGATTACAATATATTGATAATAGAGAGAGAAACAAATGGATAAAAATTATAGAATAAATAGTAGATTACCATTTGATTGTAGTTGAGTTTGATAAAAGGCAAGATCAAATCATTATCAAATAAATTAATGAAGAAACTAAATCTAAGTTTTAAATTAATGAAAATTAAGATTTAAGAAAAATTTTGAGAGATGTTTAAAATTTTATATTATTTTAGATGACAATAATAAATAGTGGAACTTCGCAAAGTAAATTTAACAAAGAATCTTTAGAAATGGCAATTCGAAATTAGTTTTGCCATAATTTTGAATAGCTAGTACCATCTTATGATGTGATTTCGAATATATTGAAATAGGAATTTAGAGTGAAATTAATTCAATACATTCTTCAAGATGTTTAATGTGTTATTTTAGCTTTTGACTGTTAATCGAGAAAGGAAATAAAATCAACATTATCGAACCAAAAGTTATCAGAAAGCTTATTTATTTAATTTTCTTCAAAAATTCTGTAGAGCATTTGTACTTATAATAACAAATTACTTGTATTATAATAAATAGTTAATTTATAATTTTATCGAATATGGATGGATAATAAATAATTTATTACATAAAGAACTCAAATGAAACTACCATATTTAATTAAACAATTATAAAATACACTATCAAGACAGATTAGATTAAAATAGAGTTTTGAGTTTAATGATTCTTTTTATTTAAATTTAAGAGCATTATAAATGGTTTTAGTTGGATTGACTTAATTTGTAGATTCAGATTTTTAGATAACAATAAAATTGAGTAATTAAATTTTATTTAAACATCTAACTTTTAAATTTGAAACAAAAAGGGGGTTATTTCCAAATCAAATCAGTAATTTGATAAAAAGATAATTAGATTTTGAAGAAAATGATTGGATCAAAAATAAATAAAATATATTGGAATGTATTAAAATTTTATCCTAAAAGGTTAAAAAAAATTAAGATATTTTTTTGTTTACTTTAATTATGTGCTAATATTTCCTATATTCAGCATTTAATTAAAGTGCATTAAGATTTAAAACAAAGAAAGATTAAAGATAAAAAGTTTCATTTGAAATTCTTATTTGAATGAATTATTTAGTTATTTCTTTATACTTCTAATCAAGTTAATTATATTAAAATTTTTATCATCAACATATATTAATCTAGTTTTAATAATTTATATTTTTGATTTACTATAATTTAAATTGAACTTTAATATTTATTGTGAATATATAATCAAATACTAATAGATATTAAAATTTAATGATATAATTGCTTTATTTCTTTGTTTAAATCACTTAATATTTTATTATACCATATTAATAACTATAATTAAAGTCAGTTTGTGTAATTAAAAATTAATCATGATTATTAATTATATATTATTATATAATCACAATAATGATATTATTTCAGACTTACATATAATCCCTTGATAATACGTAATTTAATATATTAGATTATTTATTAAAAGTAAAGTGATGATATCAAAAATATGTTTTAGTACAAATATGAATATATAATCATTTCATTTCGACTGTTTTAGTTTTTCTTAAAGTCATTAATTGTTCCTACATTACTATTTAAGGGATTTGTGATCTTCTCCTATTTTTATCAACTTAAATAAATTGATCTACTACTCTAAATTAAACCCAAGCCTTCCCTTACATTAATTCATCAAGCTATTTATAGAACTTTTAGTATACCTCTTCATTAATTTCCTATTCAGTATAACCAGTTTTCTTTACAATTTTCCAAAATGTCAACCACTCTTAAATAGTGATATCACCAGAATTATCAAAATCTACTGCTTTAAATAGAGCTTCAGTATTAATTTTAGCAAAGTTAGATTACCTTATAAGTGTAAATGTGTGAATATTTACCAAAATTATTGTGTGGTTTTCTTGTCAATTACTCCTTTATTCTCTTTATCAATTTTTTAGAATATTTATAAAGCTTTTAATCTCAAAGATGCTGATAAATCAGTTTCATGATGCATAGATGAACACAACCCCATAAATTTTAATTTATATAATATGTTAATTTTTTAAATCGGAACCTATAATATGTGAAATATTCAACATTAAAAAAATACTTATTATAATTAATTTAATTGATATCTGAATTTGCAAAAGAAAGATTTAAAAATTGTTATAAAAATAATTGATATATGAAAAAATAAAAATCATTAAGATAATTAAGAAGATTGAAAAAATATATTTATAATTAAATCAATTAAGTTGATAAAATAAATAGAAATAAATATTTTAATATTCATTTAATGGTTGCAAGTTAAAATTTAATTTTCAAAAAAAGAAACTATTGTTTAAATTTATTAATAATATATTAATATTCATATGTTATTTATAACTCTTCTATATTATTAAAATAAACTGATAAAGATGATGATCCTTATAAGGAATTATCAAAAAAGAACATGAATTCAAATGTTTAAATTTAAGTGTAATTGAAGAAATTCTAAGAAACATCTTGAAATTATTATCAATTGATATAGATTTAATAAACAAAATTCAATCATTATTTGAATATTTAAGAATTTGCATATGTAAATTTATCAAAAGTGCCTACTTTTAATGAATTAATAGGAGTGTCAGTTATTTCTTCTTCTGTAAATACTGGATCAATGTTTTATAAATCTAATTCATCTTTAAGTTTAGGTATAAATTATGGTTTAATTTTTTTATCATAAACATCTTCCCAAGATAAAGATTTAAAGAAAGGATGAGCTTTAATTTAATGAATATTTATTCTTTTTGTAGCATCATTTATCAATAATCCTGTAAGTAGATCAGAAACTTCTTCAGAAAACCATGATTTCATTTCAATTTTTTTCTCAAGTCTATTTCTGAACATCATACCTTTATCATTTGAATAAAATGGAGGAGCACCATTTATCATTTCATACATAAGTGCACCAAGACTCCACCAATCTGCTAATTAATCATGTCCTTAGCCTAGTAAAATCTCAGGAGCTAAATATTCAGGAGTACCACAGAATGTATAAGTTCTTTCACCTTCCTTTAGATTGATTCTAGATAGACCAAAATCTGTCAATTTCAAATGTCCATCAGCCCCAATTAAAATATTTTCTGGTTTTAAATCTCTATATATAATGCCTTTTTAATGAAGATAATCAAGTGCTAATATTAATTCAGCAGCATATAATTTCATTCTTTCTTCTGAAAACTTTTTTGATTTTCTTAGATGATAGAATAATTCACCTATTAATAAAATATGTAATTTACCTCCAGCAAGAAAATCTGTAACTAAATATAATTTTTCAGGTGTTTAAAATGCAAAATGTAATTTAACAATAAATGGATGTTAAGCTACTTCTAAAATTTATCGTTCATTCATTGTATGAATTTATTATCCTTTTTATTAAATAATATCCTTTCTTAGTATTTTCATAGCATAATATTGTTTTGTCATTTTATGTTAAACCAACATGACCTTTCCAAATGATCCTCTTCCAACAACCTTTTTAATTATCAGTTATTAATTTACTTTGTTAAATATAAAATCTTCTAAACATACTAGATTCAATTAATCATTTAGTTTTATTTGTTTTGCATCTCCTGGAATTGTATTACTAGAATCAGTTTTTGAATCTTCAATTTAATTGGCTTATTTATTATCTTCTTTTTGAAAACAAATACCCATTATGGAAAATATATATTCAATTAAATAAATGAGAATAATATGAAAATATAGCATATAATTATCTGTACAAACAAGCTGCATTCTTCCTATAATGCATGTCTTCTCTATTCTAATGATTGAGTATAACTTTGTTTCTTAATCCAAATTTTTGAGTTCTATTAGCATTTCTTAATTATTCATGTAATTTAGCATTAATGTCTTCTGGAATGTATGGATTTCGAATACGATTACTTACTTAAACTTCATAAGGCAATTTATAAATAGTAGTATTATTTAAATCATATTGTCTTCTTTCTTTAGAATATGTTGATTAGGATGAATTTACAATTCTAAAATCATCTCCTTTTTTATTATTTTGATATTTAATTAATTTTTAATATTTAGGAGTATTTATCTAATATTAAAATTCTTCATTTTTCTATAATATTATTTCTATTTGTTCTGTAACTGTATAGATAACTTATTTCTTAACTTAGATTCCTCTAATTGAATTTGGATTTCTACTCAATAATTCATTTCTACTTAATATAGGTAAATTCATATAATTTAATAATTATGGACATAAAGTCTTAACTTCTATATTATTCTTTTTCAATTAATCTTTCAATGATTCACAACTAAATTATTTAATAGGAGATTCATCAGATTCTACAATACCTAATAATCCTCTCTCATGAAAATAATATTATTCTTCACTTTATCCTAAATAATAATAATTTAAGGCAAATTTTTCATAAATTTGTAATTCATATTCTTTGCTAAGCCATGCATATTGTAATGCTTTCTTTAATAATGTTAAAGCTTCACTATTCATTTTTATTTCTTAAGCACAATTAGCTAAACCAATTAATGCTTTTGCTTTTTCAGCATGATTCTTGGTTAATGTATTCAAAATTCTCTCAAATTATATAAGTTCAATACATATTAATTGTAATAGTAACAAGCATTATTATAATCTTTGATTTTTAAAAGTATATCAGCTGTCATACATATTATGGCTCCAAATTATTATAAATTCCCATTATCAACAATATAACTTAATTGTATTTTGAATTCTAGACTATATAATATTATGTTACAATTCATATAAAGATCTGATTATCTCCACATTAATTCTTCAATTATTGGCTTTGTAAACAATTAATTAATGTTAACATTTTGTTACTATAATGATGTTACATGGACACTTCTACGTTATTATTTTTATTTCTCTAACAAATCTTTTTAACTTGGATGAGAGTGATTATTATCAAAAGATTTGTGTTAAGTTGAATGAGATCTTATCTTATATTAAGTGAAACTGAAACTAGTGCATTTTGTAGTTAGAAATGAATTAGCATTCATTTAATTATTACACAAATTATTTGTTATTAATATATTTTATATTATTTAATTAACATAAACCTAAATATATGATATTTAATAATATATTGATTTATTAATACATATGTGAATATAATGAATTATAATGTGAAAATGAATATTTATAATATATAGAATCAACTAATTAATATTATATTAATGTGATTTATTAACAAATAATGACATAAAAATATTTAAAAATCGTTTTAAATATTAATATGCAATTAACTCTTTTATTTTATTGTTATTTTTTATTTAAAAATTGCATTAATCGATTATATGATTGTAAAAATCAATATCTGTAAACTGATCCATAACCAAATGTTGGAGCTGCATAACTGTAAGCTGGAGCATATCCATAACCATAATTATATGTTGGTGCAACTACACTTGTTCTCACTGGGGCTACTGGAGCAACATAGCTATAAGAAAGAGGTGATGCATAAGAAACTGGAGCAGGAGGAGCTCTTCTAACCTTTATAATATATTGAATAAATTTTATACTTCTCTTTCATATTCTAAATAATCAACTCTTGGGACATTCTTTTCAACAGGAACGTAATCAATTTATTTCTCATAAGAAACTTATGGAACATATTCCTTTTAATATTCTACAGGGTAATAATCGGTAACCCACTTTTATCTTGGAACCTAATGTTTTATGCCATCTTTATACTTAAACTGTTCTGACTTCCTCTTCTAATTCAACCACTGGCTTTTGATAAGGGACATATTCAACTCTAGATTCTCCTCTGATTGGTGAGTATTGTGGTGCTGCATAAGAAACTGGAGCAGCATATGAAATTGGAGCAGCATAAGACACTGGGGCAGCATAAGACACTGGAGCTGCATATCCAACTAAAGGTTATTTATATGGATTCTTACCTGGAACTGGTCTAGCTATTGATGTTGCTAAGGGTGAAGCATAAGAAACACCTAATGGAGCATATGAGTACATCTTGTTATAATTATTAAAGTAAATAAAATTTATTGTTGTTTAATTTAAATTTCCAAATTATACTACAAAATAATTAATTTAATTACTCCATAGCATATAAGGAACTTAAATTATAGAAAATATTTAAAGTAAAGCAAATAAATTTATATATTTAATTGTATTTTTTTATTTCCTTATTTCTTCAAACTTTTATCAACTTCCAATTTCTAAATATATATCAATATATAACAGTAACATATAAGTCTTATTAAATAAATAAAAAATACAATATTTTACACATATGTCAAAATATATAAAAAGTATATTAAATAAGAACATTACCAAATCCATTAGTAAGAAATTCATTATTTATGCATTCAGTTCTAATTTCTAATTTAAAATTTCATTCAGAAATTACTCTTTAAAATTAACCATAAAAAAATGCATTAGATTATAGAAACAAGTAGATAATTAGTATCTATTAATGTTAGAAAAAGAATTGATTCATAAGTTTGTACCCATTTGTAGTTTATTCAAAAATTCAATCGTTTAGAAATCATTAAGAAGTAAATTTTCTTAAAAAATAAAATTTAATCCAATATATATAAAAAATGAAAAAAAGCTGTTTATTTGCTATATATTTATAAATAATAAAAAAGTATATAAAAAGATAAAAGAAAATCTAGAAATAGGAAATCAAAGCGATGAGAATTTAGTTTATTCTTCTTCAGATATAAATTATTTCCACATCTACTTATTGAATATCCAATTTTTGTGAAGAGTTCTAATCTAATAATTGTAAATTAAAATATATAAATAAATCTAATAAATTATTCTTCTTTTAGATTTCTCCTTTTTATATATATAATAAACTATAAAATTATAATAACTTTAGTAAGAATATAATTTAAAATCTCATACACTAATTAATAATTTGGTAATAGATTTATTTTATAATTATTAATTATCTTTTAAATTAAATTTTATGCATTTAATTATGTTACCAACTAACAATGAGATGGATATAGAGTATCACAATCTAAATAAAGTTTGCATCCGCATATCTTTGTAAATATGATTAATTGTGAATAATTTGTTAGAGTTTAATTATAAGAAACGAAAGAGTAAAGAAAAAATTAATTTATTTATAAAAATACAGAAAATTTTGATTTACTACATCAAATTTAATCATTTAAAGGATAAATAAGAGAAGAGTATTTGATTTTCCTCAAAATGCAAGAAGAAGATATTTACTTTGAAGAGAATATGAAGAATGCATTAGAAGAAAAGTCTGAAAGAGTTGGTTTTTATTAACTCTAATTACAATTTATTAGCTTAAATTATTAAACTATAAGATCATTAACTTTGAATTAATATTTCAGCAAAAAAATATTCATATGAATTTATATTGAGAATATATTTTAAGCTAGATTTTATTATCAATTTTCAAATTAAAATAAAGAAACAAAGGAGTGATATAAGTAAAAAACAAAATTATGAAATATTAATTAATTATAAAAAAGATTATTGAGTTATTTAAGGTTATTTAATATTCCTGAAGATGTCTTGAAAGCATTGCTTATATAAATAGAAGTTATTTAAAGAAGATTACATAGATACGAACTTTTATAATAATAACAGACTATAATTTGTTGGCAACTTTTTAAAGTTTCATTTATTAAAATTAATTGATGAACATTAACAATAAAAACATAAATTCCATATATCTACAATAGATTAATAAAAAGTATATATTTCAAAATCAATTATTATATGATTAATTTGAAAATTTATTATTAAATATATTGACAATATTTTACTAATGATATATATTTAATTCCTTTTACTTGTTGTGAATGCAATTATGCCTATGCCTAATTAAATAATATATGGTTATTATACAGTAAGAATTTCAAACATTTGCTAAATCAAATTTTTTTCTTAATAAGAATTTCCAAATCACATTTTATAACTATTACTTCATTATCATTAATTAATAACATATGATGAGGATTGTGATTTTGAAGAGTCCATTAATAATATAAATATAAAAGTTGATGGAGCATTGAAATTTGAGATTAGTTTAGAAAGCAATGAGCAATTATATTGGGTTAAAACTACAAAAGAAGAAGCTTATGAATTAAATATAGATGAGAATTTAAATGTAAGGATTAAGACATCAAATCATTGGGGTTTAGCAAGAGCTCTTGATACTGTAAATCAATTAACCATAAATAATTAAATTGAGAATGTAATCTACATAAAAATTATTTTAGTTACCTATTTATATAAATGATGAACCTTAGTATATTCATAGAGGAGTAATGATAGACACAGCCAGAAATTTTTTACCTGTAAGATTAATAAAGAGAACTATTGATGCTTTAGTTATTAATAAATTGAATGTTTTACATTGGCATATTACAGATGATGAAAGTTTTCCACTTTTATTAACTAATTATAGTTAAATAACAAATAATTCTAAATTTTGGAAAGATGGGTATTTTACAAAGGAAGATATTTAAGATATTATAGAATATGCTTCAATAAGAGGAGTATAAATCATTCCTGAAATAGACACACCTGCACATGTTTATTCTTGGGGAAGATCATTTGAATTAGCATAAATTATAATTGCATGTGATACTGATATATAATAATATGGATAATTAGATCCAACTTTAGATTTTACATATGAAGTCTTAAAATCTGTAATGCAAGATTTGAATGATATGTTTGCTAAAGTATAATTTATTCATTTTGGTGGGAATGAAGCTAGTATATCATGTTTTGAATAAAAACCATCAATTAAAGAATTTATGGATTAAAATGGAATAAAAAACTATTTTGATCTTTAAGTTTATTATAGAAAAAGATAAAAAGACATTTGGAAAAATTAAATTAAATCATAAAAGAAAATCATTTATTGGTATAATAAAAAACATTAACTTCCTGCAGATCAAGATGATATTGTATAATGGTGTGGTTAATCCAATGAACTTTAAGATTTAAAATTGAAAACAAATCCAATTATTTTAAGTGATTATGATTTATTATCATTGGATATTGGTATTGGAGATTCTTTTGGAGATCCAGATGATTTTTATTAGAGTTGGAAAGATGTTTATAGCTGGGTTCCAAAATTAGCAGAAGATTTTAATGGACAACTTTTAGGAGCTGAAGCCCTTTTATGGGGACATACAAATACTAGAAATACACATTTCTAAAAATTATTTTTAAGGTCCTCAATTTTAGGGGATATGTATTTAAATCTTTAATTAAAATAGATTATGGAATTCAAATTCGAAAACATCAGAATAATTTTGGTAATTTACATAAAGATTAAGTGAAATGGAAGATAGAATGAACAAATACAAATTTCCTGTATCACCATTTACTAGTGGTTATTGTAAAAGTTAAACTTAAGTTTGTTTTCCATATTTTTATATAATCTAATAAAATTAAACTGGAAAAACTTGATTAAATTTAATATTATTGTATATATATTGATATTTTTAATATTTTAATGTTAGTAATAATATTATAAATTGAGCCCTTTAAATAGGTAAACGAACTTAATCTGCCAAAATAGAATGAATATTATTTGATATATATTAAATTCTAATTACTAATTAATCACTCCTAAATTTTATAATGTAATAAATTTATTCTTTTTTTATAAAATCAGATATTGTCCTAAAAAGTTAAATTGAAATTTAATAAATTTCATTAATTATTCCTTTTTACAGGATCTGTTAATATCTCTCTTAAATCTTTAAGTATAATATGTATGTATCATTAATATTTTGCTTGTTAAATTACGAATTTTTAATAATATTAATAAATTCATATTTAATATTTTACAGTTCTTATAAAGTAATTTCTTTTAGAGCAAAAGCTTTTTACCAAAGCCTTTCTCTAATTGTACCAATTATTAATCTACTTGCTTATTAAAATTCATTAAGTTAACTAAAATCGACTTCTTTAGTCAGAGCTTGGGGTTAATTGAGAAAAAATAATAATTGTGTCCAATACTTATAAATAAAACTTTCCTTAACTCTGAAATAGAATGATGTTTGAATAAACTAAGAAAAAACTAAAACCTTATCATTTTTTAATTTATTTAGATTTAGAAATGATATAATTTCGTAAAAAAGAAAATTAATAAGTGTGAAATATACTATATATATAAATATATTATTAATAGCCAAACTTTTTAAAGAATGATGCTTTAATTGAACATGAATTAATTTAGAATGTTTTAATAATAAAATTCATTAATTTTTTATTAAAAAATCAGAATCCAATTTAATACATTGATTTATATAATAATTTATTTATATTACAATTTTGAAATATGAGTTAAATTGAGATGCAATAGTTTGATCAAGATAGAGTACCTGATGATGAGAGGGAAGATGATTTTAAAAATTTAATAGCTATTCTTGCTGGAAAGATTTAACTTAAAACAGTTGAACCTGGGATATTAGGTAGATTGGATCATTTAGAAAATTATTATGATCTACTACCTTTTAATGTCAGAGGATTTAGACTTATAAATAGAGCAAGTTTATTGAACGGAGATTTTGCAAAGAGATACATAATAAAATAAATAATAGATTTGAATTTAGATCTTGAAAGTTTTTTTTCATAATTTAAATAGATGATTTTAGAAAGCATTATTTAATAGATACAGCTGTAAAAATGGTAGAAGGGGTGCCAACTTGGTCATTTTTTGTTAGTTTAATTTTGTTAACTTTATTTTTGTTATAAGTTTGTTTAGATTCTATGTTATATAACCTTTTAGTTATGAAACATGATTCTGTGTAGAATGAATATGATAATACTACAGGACCTACTGCTAATGATGAGTATAAAACATCTAATTTACTTAAGATAAACTTTACATGATTTGAAAGAAGAATTAATTGCCATTTGGTTCTTATATATATTAATCCCGTTTAGATTGGGATTATGGATGATAGATTTAGTAATACGTTACATAGGTTTAAGATATTTTAGAAAAGAATATTCAACTTTTGCTATGTTTTTTGATTTTTTATTGGGATTATTGACAATAATAATAGTTGGTTTTTCAACAAGATTAGATTATAGTTTGAGATCTGACACTGCTTAAACTTAAGTCGAATTAGTAATTTAATAAATTATTATTTAAGATCATTAGAAATTTAGTTATCTTCTTAACTTTTTTAGCAGGTATGATTTAATCAAAAAAGGCCATGGATTTAACCAAGAGATTATGTTTATTATTTAATTAAAGGAAAGTCTCATGTTGTAATTTTATTAGTTTTTGAATTATATAAAATATATTAATAAATAAAAGTCAAATTAATTAATAACATTAAACACTTTTTTCTAAAGTAGAAATAAGAGGAAGATATAATTTAATTATCTGAAACATTTATCTATTATAATTAAGGTTTAAAAAAAAATAGATTGATCCAGAATAAGAATAATGATATCTTCTTTAAGACATAATTTTAAATAATTTTGTTTATTATTAATTAAATTTCTATATAAATTCTTTAATGACATTTAAAATTTATTTATAATAAGATATACAACTAAGATGAGTGAAATCTTCTTCAATATTTTCATCAAATTCACACTTCCTAATTAAATCAAAGAAATCATACATATAGAGAAGTATAAGTATAACAAGATACTTAAATGAAATCTAATTATAATATTTAAATAATTTAAAAATGAAAAAAGTAGAAATCTTATTAATATTCTTTCATCAATACAAGTAAATTTTAAAATCTTTCACAAGAATATTAAAAATTAAGAATGCTCTAAATAAAATTTAATTATCAAAATAAATAACACTAATTTTATTTATTTTGGGTACTGTGTAATATTGTAATATGTTAAAAGGAAAACTTTATAGATTTCAGTTTAATTTTAACCAAAATAATTATACCCATCATATTCTAACATGAAAAGTATAATTACTCTGATAAATTAAAGTAAAGAATAAAGTTTGATAGTCTATTAAAAGTTTCAATAATCTATTAAAAATTTCAATAACTTATTCGAGATTATAAGTTGTCCCCCTTTTAAACTTATAAATGATAATAATACTATAATGAAATTAGTAATAGGAATATTGAAATAAATGAAGAATGATATAATAATAATCAACAAATTTAATTTTTTTTTTCTAATCAAAAGAGCTAAATAGATAATTTAATTATAAACAGAAATATATGATCAATTAAAACTTTATATTTTCAGAAGTGTTTAAATAATTCATACAGTAATTTAGTTATACTAGAAAATATTTAATATTTTTATTCAAAAAAATGTTTCCAAAATTATCCAATCCTATCTATGATATGGATTTAACCGAAAAAAATAAATATCAAAAAGATCTAATGTTTTTGGATTTATAAGGACTGAAAATATAAAGACCTGCTTAACCACTATTTAATCAGCAAATAACTGATAAAAATTAATAAAAGAATGACCCTTCAATATTAAGATTAAAACATGAGAGATTTTATAATAGTTCAGTTCCATCTTTACCACCATTATACATAATTAGGCCAATTAGAAAGGATGGAAATGGTCGAGGTTATATTAAAGCATAATTTATAAAAAATTAGTTTGAAAATTATGAAAAGCTATTTCAAAGCTGATATAAACTAACTTAGATAAAATTCTGATTTCTATATGTAATTGAAAAATGAAATCAATATCTTTTACTTTAATTCCATAAATCATCCAATTCTCTACTTTTTTATTCTAATAGTAATCTTAAACTTCTATTTTCTTTTTCTACTTATTCTAATAATGTTTCATAGTATCTCTTTATATGTAATGATTCTTTCTTTTTTTAATCTTCATACATATAATCATCTTAATCTTTCTATTTCTGAAATAACAAAAGTGTTGATTTCAAACTCTCATTTTCAATTAATAAATGTTAATTAGTTGATGAAAGCTAAAAAGAATATATATAAATATTATACATCATTTATTTTAAGTGTCATTTATTACTTAAATTATAATAATTATTCAATTTCACTTAAATTTGAATCTTAACTTTTTTTATATTATATAATAGATTCTTCCATCTATTTTATATGCTGTTAAGTTTATTATTGATATTATATTTATGAATCTTTAAATTCTTTATTTTTTAGTTCAACAATCAATTTATTATGATTATTCAATTCAACTATTTATTCATTTTTTAGATTTAATTCATTAATTAATAATTAATTTTCTTCTGTCCTGAAACTTAAAATCTAAAAAGTAAATTAAAATTTCAAATACTTATTCCATTTCAGCCATTTTCTTAGTCATTAAAAATTTCTATTATTAGCTATCACTTGTATCATTCTTATATAATATTTATAAATCTTCTAACTTAGCTTAATATTGTCTATGTAATTCCTCTTCCTTTAACTTTGATCTTCTCTAAATATTTAAATTTCATATACATTTATTGATTCTATTTCTCTTTTAAATTTTAAAATTTGATTATCTTTATCTATAATCTCCTACTCTAATTTCTAAATTATGAATTCTTTTTCTTTTATGTCATGATCATCAAATAACTTATTCGAGAATACTTTATCAGAAACATCAATATTTTGCAATCTTTCTTTCAATCTACTATTCTCAATCACTAACTATTAATTTTCCATTATTTTTTTTTCTAAATTATTCCTCATATCATCTGTTTCCTCCATTAATTATTGTAATTCCTAAATCAAATATATTTTTTACTTTAAATCCACTTTCTAATTTCAATGCTCTATCTTTCCATTTTTAGATCTCACTTTCTGCATCAGATGTCTTGCTATTGTGATTATTGAAATGCATTTAATTAAAACAAAAATTAAAAAAGCTGTTAAATAAAATATTTAATATTGTGTTCTATGAACCATTAATCTAAACAATTAAATTATATATTTATAATATATATACTAATAAATATTAATATATATTTGATATTCAATATCTATTATAAATATCTCATATTAATAAAATATTATAAAATTAATATACAATAATTTATTGAGAATTAATTCTAATATCAAATTGTTATAATTCAATTTTTTTCAATTATATAAGATGTTGAATGCTTAGATTCCATCTGAAAATTATCGAAACATATCATATTGAAAGAATCTTCTAATTGTAATTCTAACATCATCTGATTACAAAAGTTTTTCAGTCACAAAATTTAGTAATTTCATTAATTCATTATCATTAATATCATCAATAAAAGGAGCTATTGGTATTCCATTATATGGTTAACCCCTAAATTATTTAATCTTAAATAAATTACATATAAAATATTGGACTATTATCAATTATTACAATTTTAGAATAATCATTTGATAGAATTCCTAAATGTTTTACTTAGATTCTACTTTGTAAAGTAATACAATTATTCCTATAATAATGTCCTTTAAAATATTTATTTTCTGGATCAATGAGATTGA